GAGAGTGTGTGTGAGAGTGTGTGTGAGAGTGTGTGTGTGAGAGTGTGTGTGTGAGAGAGTGTGTGTGAGAGTGTGTGTGAGAGAAGGACGTGCTCACATCCTTGAGCCCAGAATCTTTGCAATGTCTTTTTGAATCAGGAACATGAACCGTTGTTAATGTAAACTAACTTCATGGCCAATGATTAGAACTGAATGGAGATCATGATAATAATGACAGACCTCACAACAACAATGTCCTGAAGTATAACTGCATCTTTTAACATGTTTCTGTTGAAGTGTGTACATGTACAACTTTGTGAAAGATCTGTTTTTTCTTTAGCAAGATTTCTATTCTTTTGATCACTTGGTGTATTTTCTTACATGTCTGGAAAAAAATCTAACCCTCAGTTTTGAAGCAGACCTTTAAATGTCTGTTGTGTGCTTTGTTCTTCTCCAGGCACTCATCACACTTCTGTGTTTATATGGGATGGTTTGGTTTGAACAGAATAAAATAAAGGTAGGATGTTGCCTTGGTAATCTGTAGCAGTCGTTCAATGAAAGCACATTTTTATTTATACCTGTTGTGACAGGCCTTGACTCTGAGCTTCCTTCTGTTTTCAGAGCCTCTCTGTGCAGTGTGAGGACTGTGATAACACCAGTGTTGTCAACTCCTGTGGCTTCATCCCAGACGTTGTTTTGGGTCAGTCTCATATCAGACAAACTGGTTAAGACTCTTAACTAAACTCAAAGCTAAATGTCTGATATAATTATGTGTTCTTCTCCACAGGTCAGAAAGAGACATCGAGAAGTCCACAACCCACCAAACAGAAGAGAGTCTCCGGGAGGAACAGATTAGTGAACGGACACGGAGGAAAGAAATACTGATGCCTCACATCTTCTCTGAAAGAGATGAGTGATGGACGCTCTAGGAAAAAAAACAATGTGAAAAACATCATGCACTTAAATCTTCAGAATAATTGTGGAGAGTTAAAGGATTTAATGAAACCTACAGACCAGAAGACAAACACCAAAACGCCAACAAGCCTTGACTCTCTATTGTAACTTATCAAGATGTAATGGTGGTTGTTTGACTACAAAAACCCTTTCTCACTTGGACTACAAAACACTAACATGCTGACTTAAGCATCATTGTATATATTTTCTACCTGAAACTACTGAATGTTGTTTTACACTGTGGGAAACATGTTATGTCCAGTCCGGGATGTACCAGCTTTATCAATGTGGTCTGCAAACCCGCTCACACCACCGCCCGGACTGTATTTATTGATTTATATGCTATAGTCACTTTTGCACTTAATCTCTTTGTTCTGTTACTTTGCCCTGTATTTAAGAGATTGACTAGAAAAACTAAAGATTGGTGATAGTTAAGTTTGTTTACTTTTAAGTGTTTGTTTAAATAATTATTACCTACGCCAAGGACGTTTTCTTTGTGTCAGCAGGATTACACAAAAACTACGGAAGGCTTCCAATAAAACGACGTAGGTCCAATGGACGTGGGTCCATTCATTCAAGGGACTAATATCTGAGTGTGTACAATTTCGTGCAGCATATTTAAGGAGACTGTTTTTGGTGGAGGCATCAGCTCTGACTGCCATTCTACTGTAGCTGCCTTAAATGACCATATTTTGCATTTATTTACAATATAGTAAACCACTGGTGTTATACTGAACTTCCTGCATTTCCTCAGTTAAAACATCAGGAAATATTTTTCTCCTTAAACTGGGAGAAACAACCAACAAGTCTTGTTTTTTTTTTACAACTGTTGTGTGATTTTTGCAATTTTGTGTTTGTTATTGGGGAGAAAGTAATACATGTGTGTACAATGTTGTGACCTAAGACTGTGACATTCAATGCCATAGCACCATGAATGGTGACAATCAGTAAGGAGGAGAATCACACAGGTGAAATCATCCTTTACAAAGGTTCATTTTGAGTCGTAGTTTTAATACAATGTGAAGTTAATATGACCTGGTGACTCATATAGTTTGGATTAACATTTGTTATTTGTAATTTTCAATGCACTACTTGGTATTACTGAGCTTTGATTTTATATGTGTGTTTTTATGTACATAAATAATTGGGAAAGATTGTGGGGTATTTTTTTTTATAACAAAGTTTTTAAATGTGGATATTACAACACAAAACAAATAAAAAATTATTTCAATTTCCTTGTGACTTTTCTCCATATGTTGATCCATGCTTACCGTGTGACATTCGTTCACACACAGGGACATGATGCTGTTCAGTTCATCAGCACCACAAACTACAATCACCTTTCTACTACAGTTTCATGAAAAATTGAACATATAAGCCGCGTAACAGTAAATGATTTGAGGGCTGTTGTATTTAGAAGTCAGTTTAAATGACCGTCAGTGTAACTAATAAACGGGCGTATGAAAACACATACTTTTCTTGCATTCTTTCATATGTTGTACTATAAACTAGAGCCTGACCATCCTCCTTACAGAGATATTTAAGTTTAATGACATGTTAACTGCCATTTCTTTGCAACACAAACCAGTAATACACATTAATTACATTCCTTAAACTATGTATTTAAACTAATAATTACAATACACTTAAAAAATAACAGGCTCTGTTTAAAAAGAGCAACAAC